TGGTCCCCGTCGACGGGTTGGACGAGTTATGGCGGGCGTACGAGGCGTGGGAGAAAGGCTTGAACGAACACACGGCGCGACAAACCCTTCCGCAACTCCTCCCTGGCCACCAGCAGGCGAAGACTGTGGCGCGGGAACGTCGTACCATCCGGGACCTGCAGAGACTTTCCTCTTGGGCGACCCCGCCCTCCCACACGGCAGAGGAGAAGGAGCAACTTCACTACTTGCGGCGCAAAATTGACTTTGAGAAAAGCAATCCGGAGAACGTGGATCCGGTGGCGCTGAAAGACCGAGTCCGCTTGTCTTATCGGCAAGCATTTGCCTATTTCTATCATTTCCCCGAGGTCTGGTACGAATTTGCGGCCTACGAACAGGAAAGTGACGACGTGGTGGCCGCCGCGTCCCTTTTTGCCCGGGCCGCGCGGGCAGTGCCGGACTGCCTGCTCCTTCATCTGGCTTGGGCAGAGCTTGAGGACGGCCGGGGCCGAGGGGACAAGGGGGCCGAGATTTTGAAGGGCTTTCTGATCCAAGAGCCGAGCACGTTGGGGTACGTGGCATACCAACACTACGTTCGACGGACGCAGGGAAAAGAAGCGGCGCGGAAGGTGTTCACCGCCACCAAGGATTTGCGCCGGAAGGGCGTCTTGACCTACCACTGGTACTTGGCCCATGCCCAGTTGGAGGAGCACGTGAACCACGAGCCGCAGGTGGCCCGACGGGTCCTTGACCACGGTCTCAGCTTGCACTCCTCCTTTCTCACGGAGCCCGAGTACGTGGTTGCGACCATGGAGGTGTTGATCCGCCTTCAGGATGAGCAGAACGTCCGCAGTTTGGCTGATCGGGCCTTAGCCGTGTTGGAGGCAGGGGTCTCGGCAGGCCCTGGAGCAGGAGGGGAACGGGAAGAGGTGGCGACGGCAGCCGCGGCCATGGCTGCCGCGGAGAAAGCGCGGCCCATTTGGTTCAAACTCTTGGAATTTGAGACGTGCGTGGCGAGCGACCGGGACCCCGCCCGGGTCGAAAGAGTGCAACAACGTATCGCGGAGGCCTTCCCCCGGCAGGCAGAATCACACCCCTTGTTGCGTCTGTGGCGACGCCTGAACATGTTTGGAACTCCTCCTGTAGAAGACAGTTCGGACGACCTGTTGAGACAGAGGTGGGAGGAGCCGGCGGTGAGCTACAGGCTGCTGGATGACGGGGAGAGGGATGGGTGGGGTACAGGGGGAGGAAGGAGAGGAAGGAAGCCCGGGAAGAGAGGGGCGTCTTCGGCTGCGGGAGGAGAGGTAACGGTTGGTGCAGGGGACGATGCTGGTGGAGGTAGAGAGGGAGGGAGGGAAGGAGGAGGGGATGGCGTGGGAGGCGGCGATGGGGGCGTGGACGGGGAGGGACGGCCTGCCGTGAGTCGGGAGGCGCGGCGTCGGGATGACCCCTACGGCGCAAGAGCTTTGCAGCAACGGCGGTTGCAGAGCATCCCCGAATACCTCCGCAAACTCTACCAGATGTTACCCATCCATACCGGTCCACCCATCGACCCTGACACGATCATCCGGGGACTCAGAGACAACCCTTTGCCACCTCGGCCACCAGGACAGTCGAGCGGAGGGAGTAAGATGTTGGGGAACGGGGAGGGGGGGGAGAGGGGGAAG